TTCACTTTTTACCCCCCAAAAAATCCCTTTTTACCCCACAAAAAATTCCCTTTTTACCCCCAAAATTCCCTTTTTATCTAAAAATTACCTTTTTACCCCCAAAAATTCACTTTTTACCCCCCAAAAAACCCTTTTTATCCCCAAAAATTCCCTTTTTAGCTAAAAATTACCTTTTAACCCCCCAAAAATTACCTTTTTACCCCCCAAAAAAACCCTTTTTACCTCCAAAAATTCACTTTTTACCCCCCCCAAAAATCCCTTTTAACCCCACAAAGAATTCCCTTTTTACCACCAAAATTCACTTTTTATCTAAAAATTACCTTTTTACCCCCCCAAAAATTCCCTTTTTACCCCACAAAAAATTCCCTTTTTACCCCCAAAATTCCCTTTTTATCTAAAAAGTACCTTTTTACACCCAAAAAAATTCCCTTTTTACCCCCCCAAAAATGTCCTTTTTACCCAGAAAAATCCCCTTTTTACCCCCAAAAAATTCCCTTTTTAGCCCAAAAATTCACTTTTTACCCCCAAAATTCCCTTTTTAGCTAAAAATTCCCTTTTTACCCCCCAAAAATTCCCTTTTTATCCCCAAAATTCCCTTTTTACCCCAAAATTCCCTTTTTTGGGTTTTTTTAGGGGGTTTATTTGAAGTTTTGTTGGGTTTTTGGGGGGTTTTTTGAGTTTTTTTGGGGGTTTTTGGGGTTTTTTTGGGGGTTTTTTTTGAGGTTTTTTTTGAGTTTTTTTTTGAGGGCGTTTTTGGGTTTTTGGGGGGTTTTTTTGAGTATAAAGGGTAAATAACGAAAAAAAAAATCAAAATTTTGCTGTTTCTGCCCGGTTTCGAACCGGGGACCTTTCGCGTGTGAGGCGAACGTGATAACCGCTACACTACAGAAACGGTACATTTTATATTTTTAATTTTCTTTTTGCAATATTTTATATTTTTGGGGTTTTTTTGGTTTTTTTTTTTTTGGGGGAATATTTTAAATTTTTTTCCTTTTTTTTTCCAGAATATTTTTAATTTTTCCATTTTTTTACTGGAATACTTTTAAATTCTGCGGGTTTTTTTTTTATGGAATATTTTTAAATTTTGCTTTTTTTTCTGGAATAATTTTAATTTTTGCCTTTTTTTCTGGAATATTTTTAAATTTTGCCTTTTTTTGGGGAATACTTTAAATTTTTTCTTTTTTTTCTGGACTATTTAAATTTTTGCAGGTTTTTTTTCTGGACTATTCTAAATTTTTGCAGTTTTTTTTCTGAACTATTTTAAATTTTTGCAATTTTTTTCTGGGATATTTTATTTTTGAATTTATTTTCTGCAATATATTTTTTATTTCTGCTTTTTTTTTCCTATCAATTATCTTTAATTTTTGCTTTTTTTTTTCCGGGAATATTTTTAATTTTTGCATTTTTTCCTGCAATATTTACCCCAAATTCCTTCTGGGATTGCTCCTGGATATCTCCAAATTCCAGGAAAAAATTCTGCCCTGAGTGTTTTGGATTCAAATTTCGTTTTTGGTTAAAAAAAAACAAAAAAGGTAAAATGGTAAAATTGAATTTGTGGACATATTCTGATTTTTTGGCTCTATTTTGAATTTCTGGATCTATTTTAAATTTCTGGATCTATTTTAAATTTCTGGATCTATTTTTAAGATCCGGTTTGAGGGAAAATATCGATGAGGAAAATGAAAATAAAGCGGTTCTGAGTTATAAAAATTGGTTTTTACCAGCGCCTGTATTTTTAAAATAAAATAAAATAAAATAAAAGCGAAAAAGTAAAAATTAAACAGTTTGTCCTAAAAATAAAGTTGTTTTTTATTTTATTTTTTTTAGGCAGCATCGCCGTGAAGGAATTTGGAGGAATTGAGACAGGAAAATATTTAAAAATTAAAATTTAAATGCAAAATTTTACTGTTTCTGCCCGGTTTCGAACCGGGGACCTTTCGCGTGTGAGGCGAACGTGATAACCGCTACACTACAGAAACGCGCTGCGAACGGCTTTACTGTCCGAGCTGCCTCGAAATAAAATAAAATAAAATAAAATAAAATAAAATAAAATAAAATAAAATAAAATAAAATAAAATAAAATTAAATTAAATTAAATTAAATTAAATTAAATTAAATTAAATTAAATTAAATTAAATTAAATTAAATTAAATTAAAATTAAATGGAATAAAAGAAAAATTAAATTAAATTAAGTGAATAAAAATAAATTAAATTGAATAAAATAAAAACTAAATTAAATTAAATTAATTTAAATTAAATTAAATTAAATTAATTTAAAATAAAATAAAAAATTAAATTAAATTAAATTAAATTAGATTAAATTTTAAAAATAAATGAAATGAAATGAAATGAAATGAAATGAAATTAAATTAAATTAAATTGAATTGAATTAAATTGAATTAAATTGAATGGAATAAAATAAAATAAAATAAAATAAAATAAAATAAAATAAAATAAAATAAAATAAAATAAAATAAAATAAAATAAAATTAAATTGAA